AAAAAAATAGATCATGTATCAACCAATTTGTTTAGTAAATGAATGGTTTGTAATCAGTATTTAAAGTGAAAGGGGATTCAGAGAATCATTTTATAAGTCTTTCAAAATTATCATTAGCCATAATTTATGATAAAATCATTATAAGAGCATAAATAGAAGCATAAATAAAGAAAACTATTTTTGACTAAGAAAACAAAGAAGAAGTCAAAAAAACAAATCAATAATTAGATTTATAACATTATTAAAATGAAAATATATATCCAATTTGTTTGTAACCTGCATAATATAATATTTAAGCAAAAGAGCAATATAAAATATCAAAAAATCATCAAGCATTACAGACACTTCATAAAAATAATTCTTAATAAGAAGATGTTAAATATATTATGAATTTATTATTTAATGAATCAGAAGAGAATGACTATTTAATATTAAAAAATGGTATTCAACTTGATACATTAAATAGTATCAATTAAAATGGAAATGCAATATTTCAATTTAATTTCAAACATAAAAATGAAACTTAAACCCTCTTGAAACTTTTAATTGAATAAATTATTATATCTTATTTTGAAAATAATGAAGAGCAATAATATTATCGCAAAATCATATTTGATGTTTTGTAATTACTTATTTCAAAATTTCCATTGCTTTTACCATAACTTTCAAGAATTAATTGTAGCCAATTTCTTGAGAAATATAAAAATAAAATTGGATATGAAAATTCGTAATTACCTACTAAAATTTCATTTCTTACATTAATAACAAGATTTATTATTCCATCTAAGAATTTTATATTTTGTATTTGTTTGGATACTATAGTTCTATATAAGAAGCAAAATAATATTGTTCCATTTGCTTATGAGATTAGGAGACTAATAATAAAATAGTTGTATTCTGAGATTAGTAGATCTATTAACAGTTTAAATGAAAAAATACTGAGCATATCTGATATTTTAGTCACTTTACTATAAATAAAATCTGTTGCCAAGATATGTATATTAAACATCTAAGAACCTTAGAATTCTTATAATTTTATAAAAATATACATAGAAGGAATTAAAAACTGCGATATTAATAAATATTTTAATTAAAGAGATTAATTATTTTTTATGATTACGACCTTGAATATATTATATCAAGTCGCCATAAACTTACTTTTAGAAAAGACAGAACCAGTAATTACTAATAGTTTATCAGTTAATTAAATGGAATTAGGAATCATAGGACAAATAAATCCAATAGAAATTAATGACTAAGTATTTTAGAATGATTAAACCTAATAAAGATATTAAGATTATAATTCTTAAAATGAATAATTTTAATATTATTTATAAAATTGGCCTTTTTTATCGATTAAAAATGGGCAAATTTAAGTGAATGCTGATTAACAAATGGAACCAGATATTCAAATTCATTAAATGTTAAATATTCCTTTAATAAATGATTCTTAAGAAATCTTTGATAAAGAATTGGAAGAAGAATTAAATTATTGGACAGATGATGCTTAGTAAATTATCGAAGAAGAACCTGAAAATAATTAAAATATTGATAATAGTTATAATGGCTTTATAAATGGTATATCAGATTAATTAGAAAATTAGATATATAAAACAATTAAATTTTAAGGATTACGTTTTCCATATTAATTTTAAATATACTTACAATAATTTAAATAAATTTTACCATCATAAAATAATGCCTAACTGATGCCTAATTTTTATCGATGGTCGTAGAATTTATATTAAGGGAATATTAATTAATCACCAAATGTTATTAGAAATTAATTAGTTCCTAGATTAGGAATGATGGATCAATTACCAAATGTTAATAGGAACATTTTAGGTCCTAGATTAGGAATGATGGATCAATTACCAAATATTTTTAGAAATTAATTAGGTCCTAGATTAGGAATGATGAATCAATTACCAAATGTTAATAGGATCATTTTAGGTCCTAGATTAGGAATGATGGATCAATAACTTAACCTCAATAGAAATTAAAATTAAAATTTTGGAAACGTTTAAAATCAAAATATAAACAATAATGGAGTAGATGATGATGAGGAAAACGAAGATATGACTGATCAAATAGATTTTGAAATGGGTCTAGGATACAATCAAGGAAATAATTATGACTTTTAAATGGAATATGGAAATTAATAGTAACAATAATAACCAAATAATTAACCTATACGTTAGAACATTTAACCTTAATTTTTATAAATAAAAAATATTGTTAATTCTGTATTGAATAATAGAAAATAGACCTTATAGCATTTAGGTAAAATAGATTAATAATTAATATAATTTTTGTTAAAATTCTTATATGTAGATGATAATTATGGCTCAAATTATGATTACATAAATACTATTTTAATAAGTCTTGGAACAAAAGCAAATTTTAACAATTAAATAATCTAAGCTGCCATTAACACTTTAAAAAAGACTACTTAAAATTAAATATAAGAAAATGCTGATGAACAAACTTTTATACTTTCAAGAAATGAAATAATAAGAGATTTTGATTATACCTCAAATTTTATCTAAAATAAAGTATTCAAACTTTTACTTTAATTACAATCAACTTCAAAATAGAATATATCAAATGAAAATATTAAAGATTGTTTTGAGCTACTTTTTAAATTAAAAGGCAATAGTCTGAAACAACTCCTTTAATTTTTAGCGAATTAAGAATAAAAATATCAATTAACATTAGCTCCAGAGCAGGTTAAAATGTTATATAATTTTATGATTGAATAGGATGATATTTAAAATAGTTCTAATTGCATGAAGTTTATATCTAATCTATGGAATGTTGATAAAAATGCGTATAAAATAATAATAATAATAATAATAATAATAATAATAATAATAATAATAATAAGAATAACTAGACTCAATAGCAAAGGAATTACTTAAATTACTTGATGTTTTATTAGATTAGGTTGCTGAAAATTTAACAATTAAAGCTGTAAATTTTATATTAGCAGTTTTAAGTAATTTAATAACAAAAAATTAAGAATCTTTGAATCTAATATTAGTAGGAGTCTAAAAAACACTTGATTCGAATGTTTAAAATCAAATTACTTTTTAGATATGTATTGAAATCCTAGTTAAAGTTTTTAAAAAAAATAGATCATGTATCAACCAATTTGTTTAGTAAATGAATGGTTTGTAATCAGTATTTAAAGTGAAAGGGGATTCATATAATCATTTTATAAGTCTTTCAAAATTATCATTAGCCATAATTTATGATAAAATCATTATAAGAGCATAAATAGAAGCATAAATAAAGAAAACTATTTTTGACTAAGAAAACAAAGAAGAAGTCAAAAAAACAAATCAATAATTAGATTTATAACATTATTAAAATGAAAATATATATCCAATTTGTTTGTAACCTGCATAATATAATATTTAAGCAAAAGAGCAATATAAAATATCAAAAAATCATCAAGCATTACAGACACTTCATAAAAATAATTCTTAATAAGAAGATGTTAAATATATTATGAATTTATTATTTAATGAATCAGAAGAGAATGACTATTTAATATTAAAAAATGGTATTCAACTTGATACATTAAATAGTATCAATTAAAATGGAAATGCAATATTTCAATTTAAGATTTTGATAGGTTATTTAAGATACTTTGTTAAAATGGCAGAGAATACATCAATCAAATAGTAAAAGAGTAAATTAACAAAATGATACCTTATTTTAAAACTATTAGATAAAATCAATTTAGAAGGAATGATTATCTTTTTGAAAAAGATTTTTTAGATGGCATTTTAACATATCATCCTCAAGTAATAGATTTTTAAAATAAAAAAGAGTATTTTTATTAAAAATAATTAATAAATGGAAGGAATTAATAACAAAATTTTGGAGGAGAAAGAATGCTTATAATAAGGAGAGAATACATTTTCGAAGACTCTTATAGATAAATTAAAAGCATAACCAATCCTAATATGCTTAAAGAATAATTGAAAATTATTTTTGAAGGGGAATAGGGATAGGATGGAGGTGGATTGACGAGAAATTGGATTTACAAACTTTCAGAATAAATTGTAGATTAAAAATATAAACTATTTATACCTAATTCAGACAATACATGTTTTATAATAAATAGGGAATCATCTAGTGATCCTGATCATCTTAACAAATTTAAATTTGTTGGAAAGATTTTTGCTCTTGCCATTCTAAAAAAAGTTCCTATATATGGCTAATTTCCAATCTCAATGTTTAAACATATTGTAGGCCAAAAATTATCCAGGGCTGATATCCAAAATTATGATGAAGGGCTGAAGAATACATTTGATCTTATCTATAATTAGAGAATTGATTCTAATTGGAATTTGTTTTGGGCATACACAATTAAATAAGGTGGTGTACCTAAAGATGTGGAACTTAAACCTGGGGGTAAAGATATTGAAGTTACAGAATATGATAAAAAAGATTTTGTAAGAAAATATTGTCACTAAATTATGGCAAAAGATATTGAAGATCAAATTAAAGCCATTTAAGATGGGTTTTATTCACTAATACCAAAAGAAGATATTAAAATCTTTGATTCAATTTAATTAGAATTATTACTATGTGGTGAATCAAATATAAATGGTATTAATTTATATAAAAAATCATTAGTTGAGGATCTTATAAGAACTTTGAGATATCAAGGTTATACTGCCCAACATTAAGTGATTGGATGGTTTTAAAATATATTGAGGAGTTTTAATTAAGATATGCTAGCTAAGTTTTTAAGTCTTGCAACAGGTAAAAATCAGATAAATTTAAGGCCACCCAAAACTTCCTGTTGGAGGATTTTAAAATCCAGAGTGTAGAATTACAATAAGTTTACCAAATTATCTATAAAATGATATTGATTCAAGATTACCTACAGGGCATACATGGTATAACTAAAATTTAATAAATAGCACTCGTGTATTAGACCTACCTGCTTATTCCAACGAAGAAACTTTAAGAATATAATTAGAAACAGCTTTAAATGAAGGAGGAGAAGGATTTGATCTAGCTTGATCATTAAAATATATCAGATATTAAATTATTATTTTATTATGCTGCTTCAATAATGCAATAGCAATCTTAAATATAAATATAAATTAATTATATATTTAAATAGTATTTGAAATACTTTAATTAACAAATATCTAAATCTAAATAATTTAATTAATAAAAAAGAAAATCTTATCTGGAAAAAAAAGTAAATTAAATAAATAAGTTAGAACTTATTTCAAATTTATATTATCTGAAATTATTTTATCATTATAATTTCTTATATGTCTTATATGCATTAAAAATTTTAAAATAATTACAAATCCCTCTTAATTTTCAATTTTGATAAAATTTATTAATGATTATTAAAGACCATCAAGCTAATTAGTAGTATTTTTTAAATCTAATAAGAATTTATAAAAATCAAAAAAATATTTATTTACTATTATTTTTAGATTAATCATTAATAAATAAATTATTATTTCAGATGGTATCATACACTTTATTAGTTTCTAATCATATTATATCCCTCTTAAATTTTCTTTAATTCAAAATTGGCTAAATCTTCCTTGGTTTTAATTAAAAATAATTCAACAATTTCTAATAATTCTTCCTCACTTTTAATTTTTTATTTTACTTTTCAAAATTTATTATCAATTTAAATTACATAACTATATATTTAAATAATATAAACATTTCTCAGGATCTTAAGCTGAGTTTTATACAATTAAATTACTTTTGAATAATTTTTATCACTATAATAATAATTAATTTATTAGCCAATACCAAATGGATCTATAATAAATCTCTTTTCTTATTATTAAATATCATCAATTTTATTATTTATGTACTGTAATGATACTTATTATTATTTATCTGAATCTTATGAAAAAATTTTTATTATTTATTTTCTAGTTTGTGACTCTATTGCTAAAAAATTAATTTTCAACTCTTTCAATTCACTATAATATCTAGACAATGTTTAGTTTCTATTTATCTAAATTATTAATTTTTTATCTGATTAACAGTTTTTTTCAACTTTTCTTTATAAAAAATCACTCACATTAGGTTAGCATTTTTCAATATCTAAATTATAATACTTAAAAAGTATTTCATCATTTTTATAATCAATGTAGAATCATCTTTTATATATTAAACAGGTAAAATGATATATTCATTTAGCTATATTGTAGAAAATATTGAACCTATTTGTTGCAATTATTATTCTTGAGTATTTTCTTAAGAATTTTTGTGTGAATTAGATTAAATAGTGCTCAAATTATTTTATTGAGATATCTACTTATGGGTTGATTATAAGGAACCTTCATTAAATGTTTTTCTCCATTCTTTCGCTTATTTTTTATTTCATCCTCTCCAGATTAAATTACAAATGACATTATGTTTACTTATTATATTTTTTAATTGGAAGATCTTGAGAAAACAACTCTGATTCTGAAATGATATACTTTATTTTGGCCTTATTTTTTATTCATTTATTTATAAAGGTTCTTAGAATATTAATAAGGTAAAGCAATTAAATTAGATTTTATATGCTACTTTTACTTGTTTTGATCTTGAAGTAAGAATTATTTTTTTTTAATTACTTATCATTTTCTTCACTGCTGCTTTATTGATGTTATTATGTTATAACAGATAATATATTTACTTATTTTATGCTTCGATTATTCTTTTGTCTTTTTTTATGTTATTTTATTCGGTGATAGAATATTTTCAAGAACCCTTTAATATTTTAACTATAATACTGTATTATTTCACCATTAGTTGCTAGATGCTAGATTTTCAATTATCTAATCATTCAAGGGTCTAAATCCTTCAATCCAAATTTAAGGACATTAAATTAGACAAGTTTGGGATAAATATTTGTATACATCTTCTATAGTTTAATGAGGCTTGATGCATGCAGAATATTGTCAGTATAATTAATGTGATAACGGATAATTAATTTAAGTCTCATAATATGAAAATAAAAATTTATTTTAAATTATTAATTAAGTAATAGATGTAAACAAATTAAATATGTTGCTTTAAGCTAATGATATAGCAATTATAATATAGGAATTATATAATAGTACAACATATGTGAGGATTTTTATTCTTCTTTGAGTAAGTATGCTGAAATATCCTTTATTAAGCAATAAAAGAAAACTGTCACCCTTGTCGTTAGAACTAAACCCTTCATTTATAAAATCTGATGAACCTTATATAGTAAAAGTATAATATAAGAAAAAGAGGAGCAGTTGAACAAACTTTATTTGGATTTTTCTTTTAATTATAAATACCCCTATTTTAAGGAAGAGTCTCTAATTATTGTATTGCAAAATATAAATTAAAGTTACTAACATAATCAAAACAAGAAGGATAATGCTTAAGGCTTAAGAGGAGTTTGTAACAACTTTATAAACCTTGGTTTTATGAAGTATATTTGAAAATGATTGAAAGCATAATTAATGAAGGAAAATTATTAATTAATCCACAAAAACTAATTAAAAAATGGTTTAAAATTTAAATGTAATTATTTGATTGTTTCTTTTGAACATTCAAAATGTAAATTGCTGGATATATTTACTAATCTAATTTTATTTTATAATATATTTTATAGTAGTTATTTTCTATAAATTAGTTTAATTTCATAAATAAATATAATGCTCAATTAGCATTTTTAGGAAATCGACGATGACAGTAAGCCGTTGTAATATATTCTATAGTTTCTGATGCCACATCCTTTGAAGAATCTATATATAAGAGATGTATGACTGCTCCTCCTAGACCATTAACTGATTTAGAGGAATTTAAGAGGTAAAATTGTAAAGACATATGAAGATCAGAAGAATATGAAGCCTTGGAAAAAGCATATAGAAGCTAAAGCTAATTAATTTAGAGAGACTATTAGAAATACGATTTAGATAATCCAGAAGGATAACATAGTTGTAAGAAATTTCTGTACCATCTTGAAAATATGTGTAAAGTATTTGATCAATTAACTCACAGGTGTATAAAGTGAGTGCAGTATCAAGAGAATATAGAGACACATTCTCAAAAGCTTACAAAATACTATATACAGATGGTGAGTTGTGTTATTTGACTGAAATTCTTGATAGTGCTTAGGAAGGTAAAAATTAGACATTTAAATATTAGGGTTTCCTTATTTGTGGGTAAATTCTGAAAAATATGCGTTTTCAACTGATGTTTTAGAAGCTGGAGTGCGGTTAGTAGAGGCTTTTTATAAAGTTCAACATGTCATTAGATACACCTATTCGGGTACTGGATAAGAAAGTCCTGATTTTTCTTCTTCAAAATTGAAGGCTGAAATTCAATTATTGTTGGAGAATTTCGATATCATTTGGGTCAATTTTGAGAAAGTACTTTAAATTGATAATTTAGTACTATGTGAAAGAGTTAATGTAAATAGAAGCAGAAGCTAGACGATTTATCCTAAAAGCAATAGAAATTGATAAAGAAATGATTTCTATTGAAGTACGAGAAAAATTGAAGGGGAGAATCCTTGTAACTTGTGAGAATTATCTACAATAAAAAGCTGAAGTAACTCACATACTGAAGCTAGTTATGCAAAGTGATAGCACAGATTAATTCGGTCGCTAATGTTGAAGGTAAAGGAAGGGATGATCTTGGTGTAAATATCCTACTTGAAGCTGAAGGTATAACCAGAAGAGTTACACGAGAGTAATCTTAAGCTGTAAGAAATCTTGCTGATAGCATCAAAATGAAGTAGACTTGTTATAATAGTTAAGTTTCCAAAAGTTTAGAGAATAGATGAGAAGATATGAAGGTAATATTGAAATGGTCGATCCTCAATTAAAAAATAATTAAGAATTAGTTGATATATTGGTTGAATATGAAACATAATGGGAAAAGGGCTTAAATTATTTATTGGATCCAAAGAGATACACTTAATTAATGTTGTTTTCTCATATAATAGAAACATCAGCTGAAAAATATAAATAATTTAAAGAACAATTAGAATGCAGGGATAGTGATATTTTTGTAGCTATTCCATGTTTAATCATATTAAAGCATCTTGAAGATGAAGATCGGAATATTTGTCTTTATTTCTTACCTATGTTAAATGATAATTCTTCAAAACTTTATTAATAATTTATGATTTTAAAACAGGAATTCTAGGGATGGAGAAGACAACATTCAAAATCATATGAATACTATAATATTATTGAAAAATTGCTTTTAGGAATTCCACAGCAATAATTTTCTCATGAAGAATCAAATTAAATTGAGAAGATTATGTAGAAAATTAAATTTCTTTCCATAGAACTATAAAGATACAATGCTATTGAATGGAATTCATTCATAGATGCTGCAATAAATAATAATTGATTTATATAATTATAATTCTAATTAATTGGAAACACAACTAATAGATTATATATTTCTATTTTATATTTTATTATTATTTTTCATCTATCAAGCTTTTTAGCATTGAAGACTTTTTCAATTTCAGCAAATACTTCATCAATTGTAGGTTCTGTATTTATTTCAATAAGTCTTTCATCTTTCTTAAACATTTATATAATTTAGTTTGTTTGATTATTTAATATTTCAACTTTCCTTTAAATACTAGCCTAATCTTTTTTTGCTATATTAAGATTAATTTTATCATTACCAACATCAGCAGCAATTCTTTTGTCAAGTACTTCTTATGAACATGAAAAACACATTATATATTTTAATCGAATAGGATTATTAGTTTAAGCATACCATGCATTTAGATTATCTTCATTTCTTGGAAATCCATCAATTATAAATTTTCTCTAAAATATATTAATAAATTACAGCTTTTGATTAATTAATAGCAGCAATTATTAATTTTACAACTACTTTACCTGGAATAGGTTGATTATTTTTTTAACAATCTTTTATTATTTATGAATCTTAAGTATTTTTTTTTATTTCATCTCTAATAAGCAATTTTGTTGAAAAATGTTGGAATCCAAACCTTTTTGATATTCTTTAAGATTAAACTTATTTTCCAGTTCCAGGAGCCCCAATCAAACCAATAACATATTTTCCTTTAGCAGGTCTTTAACCATTTTAATTTACTGCTAGTCCACTACTTTTAAATTACTTTTTAACATTTGAATAAACAACATCAACCAATTATTCAGAATTAATGACCTTCAATTTATCTAAATATATTAAAAATTTTACTTTAATCTTTAAATACTCCTAGAACAGGTTTTGTTTCAGAATGAAAAGTAGTTAATCTTTTTTTTATTGTTTCTTCATTATCATCTGCCCTTCCTGAAGTTTTAGCTCTCTCTAAAAGTCTTTTAGTCATTTCAGCATCAGAACATTCAAAGTAAAGTAAACAATTTACATCCACTAAAGGAGCTAGAATTTTATTCCAAGAATCAATATTTTCTTAATTACGAGGAAAACCATCTAATAAATACTTTCCTCTAAATTATCTTCTTAATAATTCCTATTTATTTAAAAAAAATATATACCTTTTTCATCAATTTTACAACAAGATCAGATGGCACAAGTTTACCTGCTTCCATAATCGATTTTAGTTCTGCTTACATTGGTCCTTCTTTTTTCTATTCTTCTCTTAATAAATCTCCTGTTGATAAATGAACATATGAAAAGTCTTTTGAAATACGAGCACATTAAGTACCTTTTCCTGATCCTGGTCCACCCTTGAAATTAAAAAATATAATACTAAAACAAATAACACTTCAGGTCGTTTTAATGGTTAAACACCTTTATTGGTTAATGATTTTTTAACATTTTCATAAACTTCATCTGGTGTAGCTTCAGCACTAACTTTGACTACCATATTCCTTTTCTCAAAATCTTATACAACAGGTTGTGTTTCATTCATAAATGTGGCAAATCTTTTCTTTATTGTTTCTGCATTATCATCTGCTCGACCTGATGTCTCTCCTCTCTTTAAAAGTCTTTATTCCATTACTGCTTCAGAACATTCAAACATCAACAAAAATCTTGCATTTACAGAATTTCCAATTATTTTATTCCAACTTTACCAATTATCTTATGATCTTGGAAATCCATCTAATATATATCTTCCTGTATTTCCCAAAGATTCAATTTCCTCAAAATTATTAAAAACTTCATACTTTTTTGATTAACTTTACTAATGTATCAGATGGAACTAATTTGCCTTCTCTCATAATATTTTCTAATTCTTCAGCATCAGGTCCACCTAATTTTAGTATGAAATATCACCTTTCTATCTTTCTGCTCTTAACAAATCTCCAGTACTTATATGCAAAAAACAATAATCCTTAACCATTTTTTCACATTGTGTACCTTTACCAGATCCAGGACCTCCCTATAAAAATTAAAAAAAAACATTACCAAAATGAAAATAACCTCAGCCTTAGGGGCATTTCCAGGATTATTAACATCGGCAGTCTACTTTATAAATTGACAGTTTTACATTTGAAGAAGAACAACCCATAAAAAGATATTTATTTATAATATGAAATTAATTAATTAAATTTCATTTATACCTCTGACTATTATTTGTACTGAATTTTTAATTTATAAATAATAAATTTATGATTGGACTAATCAACTATCCTTTAATTCAAAATAAACTAATTATTTATCATTTATTATTCTATTTAAACCTACTTAATATTTTAACAATCCAATTAATAAATAGTATATAATAATCATCAAATATTGAGAACAAAATAATGATTATTCTTTTTAAATTAAAAAAAAGATTATTTTTTCTTATCTACTTGAGAAGCTTAAAAAATAATATTGAAATTTATTTTTCTTTATTATATGTTTATTCAATTTAATGAATATATCACCATTCAAGGAAGGGATCATCTGCAGGTTTAAGGGCTGGACTTTAAGTATCGGATTCTGGATATGATGAGAAATTTGAAGTGTCATTGGGAGCTCTTAAGAGATTGTTTTAAATATTACTTAACAACAGGTTTATAAGGTACAGGCAATTTCTTTTAAGTTAGTAAATTCCAATCTAAATTTCCAAACCATCTATGATTTTTTACATCAGCAGCCCCTAGTTATATATAATCATATAGAAATTACCATTCTTTAAATTTCCATATCTTTTAGACAGATCTGCAACTAATAAATGTTTTACTAATGATTTAGCATTTCTATATTATTGTTACTAAATACTTATCAAAAGATTTAGGAAATTTCACCTTTCCTTTTAGAATTTTTTGATAAATTGCCATAGGATCTTCATCAGAAAAGGGATCAATTCCTGCATTCATTTCATATATCAAAATGCCCAATGTCCACCAATCTACTGCTTTACCATGTCCTTTATTCAATAAAATCTCTGGTGCCAAATACTCAGGTGTTCCACAAAGTGTATATGTTCTTCCTTCAACTACTTTAGCAAATCCAAAATCTGTCAATTTTAAGTAACCATCATCTGCTATTAATAAATTTTCTGGTTTTAAATCTCTATATATTATATTTTTTGAGTGAAGATATTCAAAAATTGAAGCTACTTAAGAAGCATAAAAACTAAATAATTAATTTATTTTGTTTACCCCGCATGCTATGTATCAAGTCTTCCTATACTTCTCAAATAAGTAAATAATTCACCTCCAGAAACAAATTCTAATACTAGATAAAGATATCTTGGATCTTAACAGAATCCTTCAAAATTAACCTAATAATTAATGAAAGAAAAGAATACGATAAAAGGATGCTGTAAATTGCCCAAAATAGTATTCTCATTAATCACATGATCAACTTATTTTAAACGTATGATTTCAGCTTTCTTTAAACTTTTTAAAGCAACATATTTATTTGTTTATTTATTCCTTGCCAATTTAACTCGCCCAAAGGAACCTAAAATTGCTATTTAGTGATAAAGTACCTGTGCCTAGAGTTTGAAATACTTCATAATCTGTCAACTTAAGTTTTTTTGGTTTTGTAAGAGAGGTGCTCATCAAAACTCAAGATTTATATAATAAATAAAATATAAATACATAAGTTATTAATATTCGTTTTAAAACTGAGCTAGATTATCATTGAAAAACTAAGTGAAATGTTAATGAATATGTCTTATTATACATTATAATAGAAATCATTAATGTAAAATTCCAATAATGTCTGAATCTCTAAAAATGAAATACTCTTAATCTGCCAACTTGATTTTCTATCCTCCATAATCTGGAAGTAAAACAACATCACCAGGTTTGACTAAAGTAGGTATGACATTTCCTTTTGAATCTGTTTATCCTGGACCAGCCTGGAAATTTCTAGAATAAATTTCATACTTCAACAACTTTTCCTACAGCTTATTTCTCATCTGAAGTTTATAAAAGGATTCCTGAAGCTGTCTTAGTAACAGGTTCATACTTTTAGATTAAAACTCTGTTGAGGAGAGGTGCCAATTTCTTGAATTAAGATGCCATTATGTGTCTACAAATTGAACTTAAATAAATAATTATCAGAATTAAATTTTTAAGTACATAAATATAAATACTATTTTAGAATTTGCTAGAAAATTTGATCCCTTTGATCTTGTAAACAAACTCATACCCTTAATTTTAAAAAAATATATTTATTTATTCTATTACTATATTTATCCTATATTGTTATTGATTTATTTTATCAACCATCTCTTTAATCTCCAAAGGTTTCTTATGGTTCCTCTTCTCCTTGACGTCCTGATTATTATTACTTCTTCTTGATTCCTGATACAACATCATCAATTCTCAATAGCATGCAAGCAGATTCAATAGCAGTTTTAAAAACTTATCTTAGTTGTTAAAGAATGAATATACTTTTTCACAGATAATGGCTCCCAAACATTAATTTCATTCATCTTAGCAATTTTACCTGTATTTCCATCTACTCCAAAAAATAATCCTCCAGTTTCACTATGTTTAGCTCTTAATTCTGTCAAAACTCTAACAGTATCAGCTCCACAATTAGCAGAAAGAGTTCTTGGTATGATTTCTAAAGCATAGGCAACTATTAAATATATAATTATTAAATATACCAGCTTTATATGGTAATTAACCTAATCCTTCAACTTTATTGGCTTTTTCCAATAATCTAGCACTAACTTCCATTTCTACAGCTCCTCCTCCTGGTAATAATTTTGGATCTTAATAAATATTTTTTGCAACTGCCAAACAATCATGTAAATTTCTTTCCTAATTAATATTAATTTTAAATATTTACCATTTCATTCAAAACATCTTTTGATGCACCTCTTAATATAATAGAGCATGCAGTTGGATTCTAACAATCTACAAAGAATGCAAAATAATCATCTCCTATTTTTTTGACTTCAAATGTTCCACACAATGTACCAACATCAGTTTCTTATAATTCTTCTGGTCTATTAACAATTGTAGCACCTGAAACTCTTGCAATTCTTGTATTGTCTGTTTTTCTTACTCTTCTAATGACAGATACATTTCCTTTTAATAAAAAGTGTTAAGCCAAATCTGAAACACCTTTTTCTGTAATTACAATATCAGGTTTGTGTTTCAATATATCATTACACATAAGAGCAACTTCATTAATTTCTTATTAAAGTGCATCAGTCATGTCTTATTCTTTTGTCATTTCCATATTTGTCATAGATTCACCTTTCTTATATTCCAATGTACAATCCAATAAAATAATTCTTGGATTCTTGATTTCTCTTCTCATTCTTGGATGAGTAACATCTTTATTAATCATAACTCCTTCAAGTACACAACTATCTTCTAGAATACCTCCAGGTATTTTTTCTACTTTTGCATATCTCTTAATTTCTAAATTTAATTTATTAATATTTCCTCCTCTAAGAACTATTTTTGTTGCTTATAAAGAGAGATCACTAATTAATGTTCCCCATCTAAATGCAAATTTAGTACCAATACAAGATTGTAATGCTTTCATTACTTCTTCTTTTTTGTCGGTATCTATTTATTGTGAAATCTCATCTAAAATTTTTACAGAATCTTCCAAGGCTCTGAAATACCCATTAACAATTTCTGTTGGATGAATATTCTTTTCAATGAATGGTCTAGCTGCTACCATCATTTCACCTGCTAATATGATAACTGATGTTGTTCCATCTCCAACTTCTTCATCTTGAGCCTTTAAATTCTTAATTATTAAAATACTCTTGCTAATTCGATCATACTCTTTGCTGCTGGATGCTAAACATCAATCTCTCTTAAAATTGCATTGCCATCATTTGTCATTACAATGCCGCCCATTGGATCAAGTAACATTTTTAACATTGATCTAGGTCCAAGAGTAGTCAAGACGATATCTGATACAGCTTTGGCTGCCTAGATATTTCCTAATTGAGCTTTTCTACCCTATTCTCTTTTTGTGTTAGCATTCACCACAATCACTGGAGCTCCTTACATATATTTTTAAATATAAAAACTTTTAATGGATTTGATTATTTTCTTTTATATTTATCAATTCCTCTAGAAAACTGAAAATTTATTATAATAATCATATATCAAATTTGCTTTATTATATCCTATAAACTATTTAAAGCTTTGATTATCTCAGTATTAATTTGAGTAGATTCTAGGTCCATTTTGGTATTAGAGAAGTCAATCAACTTAATTTTAAAATCATTATCATCACGATAAATTAATAACAAACTTGTTCCTTACCATGAAATCACTTGCTTACAATTACTAATAATGAATTGTTTTAGTGATTCTATTTTATCAATGGCTTCCTTTAAAATTTCTAAATTTAAATAACAAAACTTACAATTTCTATTTTTTAAACTAAAAAAAATCTTAATTGAATCAATTAATTCCTCTACAGATATAGTTCTACCCCAATGTTTATCCTTAAACAAAACTAGTTCATTATTTTCTTGTATTTTCATTCCACAAATTCTTAGGCCTATTTTAGAGGAAGTTGAATCTTGATAACGCTATATATGTGATTATTTTTCAACTGTATAGCCTAATTTAAGGTCTATAATTCTCAAATTCTAAGAGTTTTAAGTCAAGTTTTATAGTAATAAATATTCTAAGAAATCTTTTTAGAAATATTTACTCTTATTATTTGGATTATACCTCTTTGAAATGAGAGAATTTAACCATTTTTATTAAGAGTTGATTGTTTCTTATTTTGATATTTCTTGATTTTTTTCTAGAATGACTACACCATTATATTAAGAGAAGAACTCTTAATATCCGTCTATATTTTGAATCCATTCATAAAAACTAATAAGCTTTTTAGAAATACTTTTATTCATTATTATTTTCAATTGAGTATGACTTAGCTACAAATTCGCCATCATTAAGTTTAATAAATATAGAATGTCCAGAGATTTATTATTCGAAAAATGCTTATTGTAATTATTATTATTAGAAACTCATAAAAATAATATATAATCAAAAAATGTAATGTTGAATAAATTTATGTTTTATTAATATTCTTCAAAGATATAAAAATCATAGAAACATTCAGTTCAGTCTAATTTTAATGTAATAATTGATTATTTGAAATATGTTTGCTATTTAAATTTTTAGTAAATTATTGTATGTTTAAATTTAATATCAACTAATTTAATTTGTTTTAAGAAGAATGGACATTATTTTAATGAATTCTATTTTATATTCATTTTTTACCATTATATTTATATTTTATTTTGAATTAAATTGATTGTTTGTTTAATGTGTGAATTTGATACTAATTAAAAAAAATAGAATAGTTAAGGGGGTCATAAGATTATAAATATGTAAATTTATGATAATTTATTCGAATGGAACAGAATTATGTGTGATTCATAAATATTGTATTGAATCAAAGATATAATTTATTATTATATGAGTACTTTTGAGAATTTGAGATACATTAAGATATAGAAAATAGGGGAAGGAGCCTATGGAATCATCTATAAAGCTAAAGATGTATAGACTGAAGAAATAGTAGCACTGAAGAAATTTAAACTAAGTGTAATAAATATGGCATATTTCAAAGGATAATGAAGGTGTTCCTAGCTGTGCTCTTAGAGAAATCTCAATCTTAAATTAACTCAAACATCCTAATATAATCAAGTAATAAAACATTGAGTTTATTTAGGTTGATATCTTAAATAATTATAAATAAGAAACTCCATTTGGTTATGAACTATTACGATATGGATTTGTCAGAGTATTTGAAGTTTAAACATGAAGAATATCACCTCAAAGTATATAAACTTAATATTAATTAAGAATATAATTTATAAGATACTTTTGGCATTGGAATTCATTCATAAAAGAAAATTTATACATCGAGATTTATAACCAAAAAATATTGTGGTTAAAAATAATGAACCAGTTATCATCGATTTTGGATTATCTAGGGTTTTGTCTCCTATTCTAACTGCAGGAGTAACTTAATTATGGTATCGTGCTCCAGAATTATTACAAAATTGCCATTCCTATGATTATGCAATAGATATGTGGTCTATTGGGTGTATTATTGCAGAAATTGCAATTAATAAACCTTTATTTATGGGATCTTCTGAAAGCCATTAACTGTCATTAATTAAAAATATTATAAACAGAGGTATGAAGTTAAAAAGTAACTATTTAGATGAATGGTTAATTAACAATTCCCAGTTTGCTAACCTCAATAACTTGTTTATTGATTTAATTAATGTATTTATTTGTCTAGAATTACTAGAAATTGTTATAAATTGATCCTTCAAAACGGATAACAAGTACTTAAGCCTTGTATCATGTATATGATTATATTTTATTAATTTAGCCATTCTTTTAGGATTAATAAGCATTAATTTAAAACAAAAGAGAATGATTTCAATGATTAAATAATAATGTGTTTTTATAAATTAAGACAAATATTTATTAATTTAGAATTCTTTATGTAATTTTACCTAAGTTTTTGAATAAATTAAAGAATAATAATCTTTTTCATATGATAACAAACAAATTTAGCCTATTTTTATAAAACCATAAGAAAAAATATAGTTTTAATTCACTTAAACATTTACTTCATTTAAAAATCTAATTTCTTCATTAAATTCTATATTTCTAACCAAGATTTTTAGATTAGAATAGAACTTAGAGAAAATATCTTAGTTTCTTATTTTTTAGTTTCAAATATTATTTCAAATTTAACCATCAATAAAACCTAATCAAAAGCTTCAAATAATATGAGAGAGTATACAAGATGTTAATATATACAATAATTTTATGAAATTTAATCAAAGTTATATTTAGATTAGTGAATCCTTTTGATTTTTTTAGATTATGGTTTTTAATCATTTATTATGAATATATAAAATAATAATTATAATAATCAATGGAGTATTTCCTTACAAGATATACAGTTTATGGAAATCCTTTTTATAATCTCAATGCTGGTAGAGATCATACAGATTGGGAGAATCAATCAAGATTAAGAAAGGCTTTGAATAGATTTTAATAATCTGAAGGTATTTATTTAATATTGATTAATAGAGGGATAATTATTACCCAAAAAGTTTACAGATTAATAAATTAAAGGAATTAGATGGGGATTACCTGTTGTTGGTTTATTTGTAATTAATATTCTTAATAATTTTAAAGTTAGGCAGATTTATTGGGGATATTTATTGTGCTTAAAGTTCTATATATATGAAGGGCATTTTTGCAGTTGTAGGACTAACAGTTTTTAATAAAATTGGAATGGATATAATGAATGACAATGAAATCTCTTATTGGACATCTAATTATCCCAAATTACCATCAGATATTCAAAAGGCTCTTAGTTATGGAGATGCAAGATATACTGGAAGATGGATTGATTGATTTAATATTGCAATAATATAAAAATAAATAAAAGAGAAATATTGATGTATAATATACTTAGAGTTAAAAATGCTTTCAAGTAGAATCGAAATAAAACACCATAAGAATCTACAAATCAAAGGCAGAATAGTTAGAGTTTTTATGATTAAAGGTAAAAATTTTGATTGGAATTTGAAAGCAATTATTCGTTGAGTGTGACAAAAAGTAAGACAAATAATTCAACTACAATAAATACAATAAATAGAACTATTAATTCTTTTTATCTTGGTCCAAGAAGAGAGAAATTATAATCCTATACAATAGAGTTATAAAAAACAATGGATGTTGATTTTGGAAATAAATAAAGAACAGGTTTTAGGGAGAGTGGCAGATAAAGTAGAAAATTAGTATGTTATTTATAATATGTTAAGCATACATCATATGGACCATAATAATAAAGGCCGATATCTCATAGTAAATCTGTAATATATGGCAAAAAAGAAGAAGTGGAAAATAATGATGAATAAATATAAGAGTATGAATGTTTATAATTAGAAATATAACTATTATTTAATAAGGTTTGATTTAAGAATCAGATAAACCATTAATAAATTCAAATGAAGAATTGAGTAAAATAAAGGAACAAGTTAATTCTATGTATAAGAATTTAGAACCAGATACTATGGAAGTAGATTAATGGGATTATTAGGTAGATTATGAGAAATTAGAACTTAATGTATTTAGTTTGGATGAATTAAGATATTTAATTTAAGAATTTGAAAAGGAAGAATATGAAAGAAATTATTTGACAATGGATAAAATTTTATTGAAAAATAAGTTTTTTTAAAGATTTGGATAGGGAATCAGGATTGGAATAATGGAGAAAGCATCTATGGAAATTCATGATGTTGGAAAAGTAATTCTACAATTAGGTGCTAATAGCAATAATCTTTATGTTATTCTTAGAGGTTCTTGTTAATAAACATTGACTATGGATATATAATTATAAGAATATCAATATTTGACAGTGTAATCTTATTTTGATGGTTAAGATTTATCAGAAATAAATTTATTATAATTAAATAATAGTAGGGGATATTCTGCAAATAAATTTATAGATATGGTAGAGGAAATTAAAGAACATCCATAATTAAAAGGTATATTTATATAAAATAAATTTGAGATCTTTTAAAAAATGAAAGAACAAAATTAATAACAAGTCATATATCATGTGGAGAATAAACTTATTTATTAAGAATGGATAATGATTAATTTTAAAAGATTTTGAAATAATCTATAGAAAAAGATAAAGAATTCAAATTGAGTATTTTATCATAAATTAGATTTTTTTAACATACTTCTGCATCTCAATTATTACATTTGGTAGCAGAATTAGGAATTCAAAAATATTTTTAAGGAGATTGTGTAGTAAGAAAGGGAGATTAATTAAATAGAGTAATTATAATTGCTTAAGGTGAATTTGAAATAGTAGAGGAAATTTAACTTAAAAGGGAAACAAGAAATTATTATTTAGAGAATAAATTAAAACCTTTAGTACATAAGAAAATCATAGATAAAAATACTAAGCCTATAGTACCTAGAGATTTTGCAGATTAATCTTTTGATTTATCTTTAAATAACAATTAAAATTAATAAGTTATAAGAAATTCAAAATGCTATTAATATTGTAATAAATAAATTAGAGGTAAAAATGAAATTTCATATACTCATTTACATGTATTAAAAACATTAAAGAAATGTGATGTGATTTGTGGTAGATCATTATTAGTATTATATGATAATGAATATGATTAAGAATAGACAAGTAATGCAAAGTAATCAATATATATATATATATAAATAGATTAACAGTTGTTGTAAAGAGTGTATAAGGTAGTGTATTTTTTTTGGATGAAAAAAGGTATTAAAATCTTCCAGAAAGTTTATAAAATCAAATTTTAGCAGGATTAAGATCTATGAAAGAATTTGATGATTATGAAATAGATCATATAAGAAAATAAATAAAAACATGGGAGAAATATAAATAAAATTTATATTAATAATTTATATTGGAGAAACGCTAAAATACTTTTAAAACATACTGATCAATTAAATATGTATTTTTTTTTTATTTGAATTAATCTCATTTATGTAAATGAATAAATAAATTTATATATGAGTCAATTTTAAGCTTTTTTTTATAGAATGGAATTTAATTTGTCTGCAATTTTAGAATCTAACATTAAATTTTGTTTAAGTTATTGTAAATCTAAAGCTTAATTTTGTTATTCAACAATATCATCTTATTAATCTATTTCACTATAATCATATTTTTCAATTGCATGATTTAATTAATCTTCAAATTATTAAAATTCTGGATCTTCAATTTCTGTTTATTTTTTTGATTATCTTGTTGTTGATTGTAGATCTAAATCTTCAACTATTTGAACATTATCAGTAAATATTACACCTTCTGCTGTTCTTTTAATCCAAGGTGCTTCTGGTTTATTTTCAACTACAGTTGGCTAAAATTGTATATAAATAGATTTATACACTAATTGTTTCAATTAATTTATCATCAAATTTAATATTCATTTCTGGAATCTCTATTGTTGGCAAACAAAAAGATAATCTTAACTATAAATTTTATTTATATTTCTTTAAAGGTAATTTAATCATAGGATAGATTGAACATAATCTATTATGTTAAGGAAATATTAAAAATTCAGTCAATTTTGAAAGTTCACAATTAATTTCACTTTTAGGATTTTAATCATCCTTTAATAATTAAATAAATAATGAAAGATGTTCTTAGATTTCTAATTATTAAATATTCTCTTATAATTATTCTAAATAATGAAGTGCAGATTCACTCTATCCTAATAATAAATGTATTGCAGATCTATTGAAATAATATTCATATAGATTATAAGTTCTATCACTAAATTCAAATTCTTCTAAAGGTTTGCTTTTAAATTCTACTTTCTTTTAAGTTTAATTTAATTAATCTAAAATATATTAATCAGAATCATTCATAGATCCTAATTCCTTTTTTTATAGATCCTCTTTAATTTTATATGATTCTCTTAATGATTATTGAGCACTATCATATTATTTTAAATAGAATTAAAATAAACCTTTATAAAACAAAATATCAGATTTTTTAAATATCTTTCCTTCTGCTCCTTTTTTTAAAATTTGATTTACACATTATAGAGCTTCTTAAAATATATTCTAATCATTATTTGCAGTTGAAGTATTTTTTAATTACTATAAAACATTTAAATCTACAATTGCATGAATATCATTAGATTATTCAACTATTTTTTATAAATCTAACATAGAACTATTTAATTCTTTTATTACAATATATGTTTTTGCTCTGAAATATAAAACTTATAAACTTTTTTCTGAACTTATACTTTTAGAATAAGATTGAATAGCATCTTCATATGCTCCTATTTAAAAAAATAAATTCCCTAATATAATATCTGTTTATGGATCATTCTATTTACATTCTTTGTATTTTTGAGCATCATAATATGCATTTTTCCTATCTCCCAATAATAGAAATACTTTTGCTCTATTTAAATAAGCATCAACAAGTTTTTCATCTAAATTTAATGCTATTGTTAAATCATTAAGTGATGGTTCATATGCTTCTCTACATGCTTATATTAACCCTCTTACATAAAAATGTTTTGCTACATGATCTTCTGATTTTTCTATTGCTTTATCTAAATCTATTAGGGAATCATCTAATCTTCCTTATGCAAAAAGTACAATCCCTCTATAGAATAAAAGATTAGATTATTCATTTATTTTGACTGCCATATCCATATATTTAATGGCATCATTCAAAAATTTATTTTTTTTCTCTATATCATCTTTTGGAATAAGATAACTATAGAATTTAACTAATGTAGTAGCTTTATAAAAGTATGGTTCCATTTTATTTGGCATTAATTTTTATGCTTTTAAAAAGAATCCTTGAGATTGTTCAAATTAATTAGAAACAGCAGCAAGGATACCTTCAGCTATAAGTTTATTATAAATAGAAGGTTTTTCAAGTGATGTTAATTAATTGAGATCATTAAGTGCCTTTTAATATTATGATTGACAAAAATATCCATAAGCTCTATATTAAAATATAAGAGGTTTCAAAAAATCTGTAACCTAATGTTTGGTAATAAGTGTTGTAAGAGTGTCTACTCCTTCATCAAATTTACGTTTCATTAAGAATGTAACTCCATCAGTAAAAATCTTAAATTTCTCTAAGATCTTCTCATCTACATCTAAATAATCAGCACGACTTAATTAATAAAATGCTTCATAAAAATCTCTTTGTTCAATTTTAATTTTAGCTATTTCATACAAAGATTTAGAAACTGCTTTTTTTGAATTATTGTGTTTAATTGATTACTCATATGCAAGAAAGGCTTCTTAAATTTAATCTAAAAATTATATATTAATATACTTTTTTTAGTGCAAATGAAACCTTTAATGTAAAGAGCTTCAGAATCACAATAATCTTCTTCCAAAACAGCTTAAATATCTTAAAGAGCCAAATCATATTCTTTTAAATCAATATATAATAAAGTTCTTTTAATAAGTGCTTATCTGAAGGAAGAATCTTGACATTCTATAGCTTGAGTACAAGCTTAAACACTTAATTTTGGTTGATTCATATATCTGTAACAATCAGCCTATCCAATATAAGATATGGCCTTTTTTGGCTATATTTCAACTGCACAAGTAAAATCCTTTAAAGCACGATCAAATTATTTCATTTTCAACAATAGTTTGCCTCTATATATATATGCATCAAAATATTTATTAAATTATTTGATAGAAAGAGTTAACTAAATTTAATCAATAATAATACAGTATTTAAAGCATCGTTTGGACAGTTTGATTTTTTATAAGCAATTGCTAAGAGAATATATGCATTTCTTTTATAGAGTGGTTATTGTTAAATCAATAGACTAAGATCTGCAATGGCTTCTGAGAATTCAGATTTACTTAAATGACATAGACCATTTAAATATCTTGCTTCAGGATTATTACTGTTTTAAAGAATTTCTTCAAATAACTTTTATGCTTCTTCAGTTTAACCTAAACTCAATAGTTTTTTGCCTTCAATAATTTCTTAAGATTTATCAGATGAAATTTTGTTGGCACGTGCTAATGTTGAATATTTGTATTTATACTTTCTGCATCCATATATTCTTTGAAAGATACATTGGACAAGTTGTTATAATGCATACATAATTCATCATTCTCATTTTATATGCTATCATCTAAAAAATATATTTGTATATATCAATTACAATGATAATAACTCATAGAATGTATTTTTTTAGAATGATTCTTTACAAAACTATTTTTATTGATAAGTTTATTTGCCTAATATTTACTAGATAAGTAATTATGAGTATCATTTAATACTTTATTTGAAGGTTTCTATAATATTATTGAAATTTATTATACTTGTATGACTTATTAAACCATATATTTTGTTTTAGATCCTTAATAACTCTCTGGTAAAAGATGAAAACTCACTTATTAAGCTTTAGGAGGTAATTCTAATAATAGACATGTTGTTTTACTTTTAACATATTATTAACTTTGTAATTTTAGAATCTAAGAATTTTGATCATTAGATCTTGACTTTTGTCTTGTCTTGAATCTACTAAATGAATTACTTTCTCTTACATTTTTCATTCTATCTATTGATATTATTATTATATTACTTCTAAATTTACTGTTAACTTATTAATATAATTCAAAAATATTCCATTCAGAGTAATATTTGTAATATATATATTTAATATATATATATATATATTTAAAACAACAAGAACAAATAGAAGATTGATTTCTCTTTAATTTAATTTCTATTTTTGTATGATTATCTTTAAAGAGAAGTTTTACTTTGATTATAATAATTAATTAAAAAATGGGATGTGGTTCAACTAAGCCTTCGGATGTTAATAATCCTCAATATAGTAATATCTTAAATCCATATATGAGTCAATGACAAATCTCAATTGCGTGTGACATCTCTAAATTTAGTAACTGAAAAGATTGGACAGATTTCATAAGATTATCATCTTCTAAAACCTTCTTTAGGAAAAGGTAATTCTCATTTTCCAATCTCTTTAGGTGCTTATGGAGAAGTTCGAAAGGGTATTCACAAATTAACAAATCAAACTAGAGCTGTGAAAATTATATCAAAAGAAAAGGCAAAAAAAGCTGATATGGAACGTCTAAAAGAAGAAGTTGATATTCTCAAAAGATTGGTATGTTTCATTCTCTAATCTAAGGATCATCCAAATATTATAAAGATCTATGAATTTTATTAGGATAATAAAAATATGTATATAGTTACAGAACTATGCACTGGAGGAGAGCTTTTCGATAAAATCTAAGAATCTAGTTCATTTTCAGAACGCAAAGCTGCAGAAACTATGAAATAGATCTTGAGTGCTGTAAATTATTTGCATAAAAGCAAAATTGTTCATCGGTACTTATTTGGTTACATTTATTTCTAAAAAGTGATATAAAGCCAGAAAATATTCTATATGAATCTTCTAAGCCTAATGCCTTACTTAAAATTGTGGATTTTGGGACATCTCGTTTTTATGATCCAGATGTAAAAATGGATTAAAAACTTGGAACTGTAATTCTATATTTAATATAGCCATATTACATTGCACCAGAAGTATTAGAAAGGAAATATGATGAAAAATGTGATATTTGGTCTTGTGGAGTAATTCTCTATATATTACTCTCTGGAACTGCTCCTTTTAATGGAGATGATGACAATTTAATAATGGAGGCAGTGAAAAGAGGATTTTATTCATTTGATACAGAAGAATGGAGATTAATTTCAGTTGAAGCAAAAAGATTGATATCAAAAATGCTTGAGAGAGATCCTAAAAAAAGAATATCTGCTGAATATGCCTTATAAGATGATTGGATTACAACTTATGTTAAAAAACCAGAAATAGATTTACCTTAATTGACTAGAGTGTTAAATAATATGAAAAATTTTAATGTTGAAAAGAAATTCTAAGAAGCTGCTCTTACATTTATGGTCAATTATTTAGCAACTAGTTAAGAAAAGTAGGAATTATTGACATAATTTTAAGCATTAGATTTAAATGGTGATGGTAGATTAAGTAGGGAAGAATTAATTATAGGTATATCTTATATATATATATATAAATAGGTTATTCAAAAGTAATGAGTTATTCTGATGCTGAAATTGAAGTTGATAAATTAATGAAATAAATTGATTAAGATGGAAATGGTAGTATTGATTATTCTGGTATTTTATAATAATTTTTATAATTTATAGAATTTGTTTTGGCTACTTTTAATAAGGTAAAATTAATAGAGGATAAAAGATTAGAATAAGCATTTAAATTATTTGATAAAGATGGAAGTGGTACAATATCTATTGATGAAATAAAATAAATATTTGGTTAAAATTCTTAGGTATCAGAAAAAGTATGGAAAGATCTTATATAAGAAGTTGATTAAAATGGAGATGGATAAGTAAATTGTATTTTAATTAGATCGAATTTAAAGAATTCAAAGAAATAATTGTTAAAGCTATTTAAAATACTAATGAAATTGATGATATCAAGAAATGAACAATCTTTTATATTTATTAATTTACAAAAAAATGATTAAATTTTAATTAATAATAATAATATTTTATTTATTTATATTTAAAAAATTATAATTTAATTTTAGAACTTAATTTTACTTATTAAATAATAATATATTAAATTGTTATATCATATTTTTTTATATTCTGCACTCTTTTCATCAAATTTAGTTTTCCATCTATTAAAATAGCTATCATTTGCTTCATTAATTGGATATTCTCCAAAAGATAATACTTCATTTAATAGATCTTATGCTTCCATCTATTTTACAAATTGAATAGGTTTTAATGTTTCAGCATATTTACCTTAAATATTTATAATTATAATACTTAATTCCTTTGTTAAATTGATTTCAATATTATAAGAATCTTTTATAAAATTAATCTTTCTATGAACTTCTCTCAATTATAAATATTGTAATTCAGTACAGAAACCATAAATGATGTTTTGAATAAACATTTGTAATAATTCATCTCTATTTGCTATTAATATATAAAAAATATAGAATTACTTGGATATATACATTATTATTATAGTCCATTATATTAAATTTGAAAATCATAATTACCTAAAAGCCATTAATGCATTTTAATCAAATTATTAATATATTCAGATTAGGATAGATTTGCAAAAGCATCAAAATTGAATTGTATGAAATTTTATATATTATTACCAAAACTATTCCAAACATTATCTTCCAATTAGAAATTACGATCCACTTCAAAAATATTCATAGAAGCTGCAATACCTTAAATACTAAAACGACAGAATCTTAAATATTCAATTAAACATATGTATTAAAATAATGATATATTATCTACATCTCTTTTTAAATTGAATTTTTATCCACCACCTTATGTAGATTTTCCATCAAAATTAGATGTTTAATCTCTTTGAGTTGTTCGATGAGGAGAGAAAGTTTAATTTTATTTCATAATTTAAGCAGATTAGGAAATTGAAAAATAATCAGAATTTTTAATTGATTCAGGTTTTGCAAACAATTAATTAAGTTTTGTTTCAAGTAAAGTATATGGTTTAAAACTTTGGAAAAATGATTTAAGTTTTTTATGATATCCTAATTGCTAACTATATTATCCCATAAATGTATAAATAATTTTATCTAATTGTCTTTTAAATTGTAATCTCATATTTTTACATAAAATAAATTCAAGAAGAAATTAAGTTATTTAAGACAATTCAAAAAAGAGCATATAACTTTATTAATAAGTTTAAATATGTTTAAGTGTTAATCCAGTAACATCTGTAAATTGTCTAAGAGATTAATATTATTAAGTTTAATCAATTTAAATAATTGCAGAATGTATTCTTTATTCATGAGAAGTCATAAATTCTAAAATTGATCTACATTAAGTTTAATCATAAGCTAATAATTCTCTAACTAATACAAGTACATGACACCACATAGAATGTTTATAATTATATTATCCATTTTCATTAGAATTATAGATTTATTCATCTGCAATAAATGTTAGTTATTTTAAATATCTTACATCTATTTTATTTGTTATATTAAATGTGATTATATCTATCCAACATTAGATTATAGATTAAAATATCTTAGAATTATTTTAATTCTTTAATGCTTCTAATTGTAAATTGATAATATCATAAAATCCTTCATTAGGTTTATCTAACAATTCTGGATTTGCTGGATAAACATTTAATATAACTGATAGAATTTAAGATAATTATCCTATAAGTTCTTTACAATTTGGATCATTGAAATCAATTTACAATATGAAATAATGAAATACTTAAACTAATTCTTAAGGTTCTTATAATTCATTTTCTTTCACACTTTATAAGATTAATAACATAGAATGAAAACATGTAAACAACACTTACCTATATTTTCCTTTGTATTCATTATTGCAAACAGATTTCATTTCCAAAATTCTTTTAAAAAAGACAATTTAATGTTTACTCATTGTGTTAAGCTTTTCATATGTCATTAATTAAATTTCTTTATTAGCATTCATATTTTTATATTTGTATACTACTTATTGACTATACCAACATATTTGATTAAGTATTTCTATGGCTGGTATCATTAATTCTTCATGGATTTTAGATGTATCCAAAGCATAAAGACTTTAACTTCCTTTTTATAAGAAATATAATCCAGCATTAAATGCATATTCAGTTTCGCTATATTAATTATCTTCTTAACCAAATAGTTTTACTACTCCTCCTTCTATAATATTCTTTCCATTATTAGGAGAAAATATTGAATCTCCAAGTTCTATCTCTTCATATAAATCTTTTTAATAATTGTCACTAAAAGGAGATCCTGTCAAACCTATTGAAAAAAAGAATTAAACAAACTAAGATAATTAATTAAATGTAGATAACAATTAAGTAAACCATGAAGCCATAATATTAGATTTTTAGATTGCAATTGCATTACCACCAATATAATTAACAGTATTACTATCAATTTAAAAGTCACGACCATAACTATAAATATAATTTGATAAATAATTGAAAACTGTATTACTTTTTATTATAGGTGTACGTTTTAAGAATTTTGCAAATTCAACATGATCACTGAATTGGATTAATAACAAATACCATTCTCTTATAAAGTGTTTCTAAAACATTAATTTTATTAATTCACCAAATGCTTTTGTTGTTTCTTTTGATTCTTATTTCATTTCATTTATAAGCAATTTTAAAAAGTACTCTAACATAACTAATTCTTCTATTGCATCTAACACACAATTCTCAAATACACATTATTCTATTGCTGATCCTGTTTCTTTGGTAATATACATTTTAGCATTCTTATCTGATAAAAATTTAGTTAATTTTTCACATCTTCTATTTAAACAAATTTAAACTTCTCTACATAATTTAAGCATTAAAGAAGCATAAGTAGTTCTACATTCTTTTGCAAATGATTAATATCTAGATTAATTTACACACAAAACTTAATGTAAGAATACTAAAACCAACATTGGAATTTTATAATCTTATTCTAAATCTTCATCATATCCAAATATATTTTATAATAATTCTAATATA